TGGAAGAGTAGTGAGCTTGTGATCATATTGAGATACTCAGATAATGACTGTCGCACTTGAAATATCCATTTGAGGAGGTGTTATAAGCCTTGATGTGAAGCTTGATGAATCATTCCGGACCGAGCATGGTTGATACGCTTGAAGGGGAATGTTGTTCCAGAGACAAACGCTAAACTATTCAGATGTGATGTGACAGACCATTTGGTTATAGTGATCCTTTTGTGTGAGAAAAGGTGTGCTTTTGTTACTCTGATGATGGAAAGGTTTGGCAAGTACCTATAAACTTAGCCACAAACGCTCTTAAAATGGAAAGCTTGGAAGAGCTGCAAGATGCAAACTTGTGTTGAAGAAGCAAGAGGACAGTTGCACCACATGAATGGCAAAGAGGGTGATTGTTAGGTTGGTTGCCACTTCATGTGCAATAAATGGAAGGCACCAACCATTGATTATTGGCAGCCACCATTGTTAAATGAGCTAGAGTTGCTGGTCAACAATGTTGACAACAAACCAAGAAGAGCCTCCATGAATGCCTATAAATAGAGGCATATGTGAGAGAACAAAATATGAGAAGAAAAGGAGCCAAAGATGCAAGAAATGTAGGAGAGAGTGGGTTCCATTGTAGCACTAAAAAGAGAGAAATAGAGTGAGGTTAAGAGTTGTCAAAGAGGGGATGATTCCTCTTCCTCTATTGTTGTAAATTTTGTACTCTTTCTATATAATCAAATGGCTTCTCCCATGGATATAGATGATTTGCCGAACCATATTAAATATTATGTCGGTGTGCTTAGTCTCCAATGAAAAACTATCAGAATATTATCCAAATATCAATACATCACCGGTCAGAATTCCTAACAAATAAGATAAAGTTAAGGGGCAGATCTGGATACAAAATCTGCCCCCACAACATGAACACTGAACGAAGCCAGTGATAGGAAAACATGCCTTGTTTATAAACAGAAAAGATAGATTTGTGTTAGAAAAATCCATATTGAGTTTTTGTATTTTTTACATGAAGATCACTCTATAGAGTGTTTCTCGTAACCCCGTTATAAATTGTGCTTTTAAAACATCGGGTTAAAGTTCAACCATCTCGTTTCCACTTTGATCCTCAAACTGTTAACCTCTTTTCACTTTTATCCCCAGCTATTCTAGTACTGTAATCCATCCCTTTAATTTAATTTTTCTTACACCTTGAATTAAGCATTCCTCTAAGATTACGATGCTAAACACAGTTTTAATTTTAAGGATCTCTCTCAAATTAAACATTTATTAATTTGCAATTTATTTATGATTTCTTTTTAGTTGTGTTGATTATTGTTGACTAGACCTGAAGAGAGAGCTATGCTATTCATCTACTCAGTCTCTTTCATGGATTTCGTTTTCCTTGCCGTTTCTCTTTCCATTTTCCCTTTCTTTTTCTTCTTGATAGTTTCGTGGGATTGCTTCTTCAACTTCAACCATCCTATTTAGATAGGCTCTTTTGTTCTTCATACTCGGGCTCCTATTTAGCATGCCTGCTGTTCTTGCCATTGCTCTTGCTCGATATCAGTAGCATGCTGTCAAGCATCAAGTGACCAAAAGGAATATTGGGGGTGTTTTCTCATTATGTCAAAACTGTTTCCTTCACATAGATGCAAAGATCAACCATTGCGAATCAGAATAAAGCCTATCAACAGGAGTAAATATTTGTAGCAATACAAAGACAGGATGAAAGTACAAGTATATGTTAATATTTCCTGCAACAGCATTCAACCTAACTACCACGAACTATTCGAACTAACACATCTTTTCATGAGACTGGTTGAGGTTGTTGAACTTGGATGCACCTTCAATGCAAATCATGTGCGCTCGTATGCGGCGCTTTTGCAGTAGTTAATCATATTACAGCATTTTCTTAGCCAGATTTGCTAGCTTTGTCGCCTTTGATAGTCATCTTCTAGAAATCAACCAGAACTTATCTTGCAAATCCTGTCTAGTTCATATATGCTAAGATTTTTTTCTCGGGAGTTGTCTGGTGGCACGCACCTTGCCATGCCATATCTGTCTTCATGGACATTACCAATTGTCTAATGGCGAGGCTCAAGCTCTGAGGCTTTGAAAACCAATGCAGTAAGCAGCCTGGAGAAATGCATGCCAAGCACTCCTTCCATTTTCAAGCTCAAATCGAGAAACCAATTATGTCCACACCAGTAAGAGAAACACGGGGATGGAAACGGTGATATAATTCTGCAACAGCAGGAGAGAGGGAAAGGAATTTTCTCAAGAAATCAAAGGCCAGAAAAGGATTTCCAGAGAAGAAAAAAACATATCCATTAGTTCAGCAGGATCAATCGACGTAAACTGACTAAAAAACAATGCCAATGGCTAACATTACATGTTTTTCATCAATGAGTGACTAAATAAATATGGTAACAAAACCAACCATGTATAAAAATGCTGTGCTGCAAATCTATCACCATTCTAAAACCAAACCATTCAGATTGATATGACTCAGCATAACTCAATTAGTACTCTTATAATAAACTTAAAAAAGAAGTCGGTAGTTAAAATAGAGTACCTCTAGATGTAAACGATTAAAGCCTGTCATAGTGCGGAAATAGCACATCATCTCCTGTATGGCTTTAACTGATAATTTTGAAACTCTGAACCGAATGTTATTGACTCTTCATCAAGCTTCTTCTTCAACCTTCTCCAAGTTCTCAACATATCAGACTGTATTAAACCCTTGTATAGTGTCTCGAAAGTAACCTTTTGGGGAAGCAATCCCTTTTCTATCATCTCAACAAAAAACTTACAAGCCTCCCTCCACTTTTCTTTCTCACATAACCCATGAATCAACAATGTATATGAATCTAAATCTGGCCCTAAACCACTAGATTTTAAATCCTCCCATATCTCGTTCACAATATCCAATCGATTCAACATCATAAACATCCTCAACAATATATTATATGAATGCAAACCCAAAGACCCCAAACCATCCTCCCTCATCTTCCTATACAATTTCAACGCACTCTCTGCATCCTTCCTTCCCATATACTCCTTAAAGAAACAATTATAAGTAACCGCAGTGGGACTAACACCATTCCTCACCATCTCACCAAGCAACTCCTCTGCATCCTCAATCCTCCCACACGAACAAAGACACTTAACCACCGAAGTATAAGTCACCACACTCGGACAAATCCCCTTCTCCTTCATCAACTTCAACTTATCAAGCGTCAATTCAGGCTTATGCGCCCGACTATACACATGAAGAACAATAGAAAAACTTGTGACATCGGGTTCGATCCCTCTCTCACGCATTTCATCAAACAAATTCTCTGCCAATCTTATCGTCCTCTCAAACCTACTCTCCGGGTGCAAACTTGCCCTCCTACAAATCCCATTTAACAAAACATTATATGTAACTACAGTAGCCTCAATCCCTCTCTCACCCGTTTCCTTCAAAAACCTCTCGGCCATATCAATTCTACCAATCTTACACCACCCATATATCAAAACTGTATACATTTTGACATTAGGACTAAACCTATGCTTCCTTTTATTAAAAATCTCAACACCCACTTTCACATACCCATATTTACACAAAGTATCAAGCAGGAAACAAAAATGGGTCTCATTCACAGGCTCAGAAACAAAACTTTCCATATCATCAAAAGCACGAATTGCCTGACGAGTAAGTCCCGCTGCAACCAATCTCCTAATGAGAACAAAGAAAGTTTCTGAAGTGGGTTTTACGTTACGTTGGTCCATTTCAACTATAAGTTGCCAACAGACATCAAATTGTCGGACTTTGGCGAGAATGTCGATCATAAGATTGTAAGTGACAGTGGTTGCAGCTGAAATGTCGGCTGAGGTAGAAGAAGTGCCGGTCAAGGTGGGTGGAGTGTCGGTTGAGGTGGGAGGGAGGGAGAGGGAGTGGTGGAAAAGGGAAAGGGCGATTTTGGAGTTGTGGCGGAGGCGGAGGAGGGTTTGGTGGAGGAGGGAGGGGGTGAGAGAAATTCCGGGTAATTGAAGAGATGATTCCATGGCATGGAATGGGTTGTGGTGGTGGAGGAGGATTTGGGAGAGTAAATCGGCGTCGTTTGAAGGTTGGAGGGTAGGGAGAAGGGCATCGTTTCGAGGAGAGAAAGCATCGTTATCTGAAGAGAAGTTATGGTTTTGGATGAAGGAGAAGAGGCGGAGAGAGAGGAGAGAAGTGGAGGAGGTGAGTAGGGTTGGTTGGTGGTAGAGTAATCTAATTGCCATGTTTCTTTGATTTATGCAGTGTATTTTGGAGGACGGAGGGAGGGACTGGGACTCTGGGAGGGAGGAATAGGGAATTGAAAAATTTGGTGCCACTACTTATCTAACTTTTTTTAATTAAATATTAGTTAATTATAATTTAGTCTTTGTAGTTTAGTAAAAATAATTAATTACTCTTTGTGGTTTCACAAATTGTTATTTAGTCCCTGTGTTTATACATTTATTTATAAATTAATCTTCATTCATTTCATTTTAGTTTTTTATTTAATTTGACTTTTTATTTTAAAAAAATAAAAGGTAAAAAAAATAAGTTATTAGGATAAAAAGTCTGAGAAAAGAAATAAAAGTGTTTTTTGAAATAAAATTATTTATAATTAAACATGATTGAAATATTTTTAATTTGCTTTGATAATCTACTAGGAAAAGTTATAATTAACTTTAAATATTATACTTTTATTTTTCTTTTCATATGTAAATATCACTAATCTATATGTTCAATTTTTACAACACCTTGGTCACATTATCAAGATTAAAAAATATATAGATTTAGATCACAAGCTTGCAAACAAATATATCGTGGCAAACATGTTTTCATCATAGGAAGATTATAGCATATATGTATATATATTAAAAATACATTCAAATTTATAATTAATTTCAAATCAAATTCCTAATATACATACTAATAAATCAATCAATAATATTTACATTAAAAGTAAAAGTATAATATATATATATATAAAAGTATTTAGTTATTGAAGTTTTTATAATATAATCAAACTGAAATTTTTTCTGATGTTCTATAAACAATATATCATGACGAACATTTTTTCATTATAGTAAGATTATAGCATATATAATAAATAAACATTCAAGCTTATAATTAATTTTAAATTAATTTTCTAATATACATGCTAATAAATAAAATATATATATTTAAATTAAAAATAAGATACTGAAATTTTTAAGAATCTCTTCAGATGTTCTATAACCAATATCGACGCTTTTTTGGGCACCATTGTTATCTTGAAATAACATGCAAGGCCCCAAACAGAATTTATATCGTAATTTGACATGGATTAATTACACTTGATTCAATATACAGCAAGCGTATAAAGTACGTGCCCCCGCCCAGAAAGCGTTGTATGTTGAAGATATATATGGCCATTCTCAGTATAGCCACCAAAATTATATTCTTTCAACTTCTGTTGCCTCCATTTGCTTCAGTAAAAATGATCTATACATTCAATCGTCTTTCAAATTCCCCAGTTAAATCATCCAGACTGATGATCCCTTCTCTCTCTGTTGCCTTCTCCATTCTCAGCTTGTTGAGCTCTGAATTTAATTCGCCAATCTGCTTTTGTAGCTTCGCTCCTTGGTCTGGTAACCTTGAAATGGTAGCCTGTAAACAGAAAAGCAAAACTGAGAAAAGAAGAAGCGATTAAAAACTTCTACTTTAATTCATGCACAACCAGCTTGAAATGGTTCCTTAAAAGAAACATAAAATGAAGATGACATGGAGGTTTGAATCCATTTAACACGAACAAATAATGTATTCAACAATTTGGGCTATTGAATCAGCGTTAGAATAAAACCCGACTGCTCCCAAGCAAGGAAAAATAAAACGAAAGGTCAAGTCAATAGCAGCCTTCAATTTTATTTACTCAATATGTTTTGGATGGCAATTCTCGACCTTCAATGTTTGTAATTCGAGCAGTTACTCTGAAGCAATAGTTTTATCCGCCTTTTCACATGTCATTTAAATCATACCTTATTTCCAAGTATTTGTGACAGCCGATTGATTCTCTCTTTGATTTCAGATTCTGTCAATTTACCCACACTATCTGGGGAAGAGCTTTTCTTCTTCAGATTTACATCCTTGGGATTGAAAGCATGCACAGCCCTGTCAAATATTAGAAACTAAATAACATGCACCAAATAGCTTTAAAAGAATATGATGGTTTATTTTTTTAAATAAATAATCAAATGTAGAGATCATACCCATCAACATCACGTTCAAGTGAATAACTTGATGATGAATTTCCCACCATTGTGGATACCTTTTTCCTGAAGCCACAAATAGAGTACCAAACCACACCAGATTTAAAAGGTATGGAATGAGGATAGTGATTAGTATGCTTTGCATGAATAAAGATTTCAAATACAAATACTACCTTATGCTCCTGTGGTTTGAATGCGTGATTTACAATTAAGGGTAAAAAGAGTAAACGTTTTATGCTATTTTTGGACTCATAATTTGAACCAAGTAGTTATACTATCAGTGGAATTCAGGATACCAATTTTATAGCAAAGAAAAAGGCAGGCCTTTTATCACAATGCATGAACCAGCTGGTAGATCCATAATTTGAACTAATGAATTGTTTGGAGTAGCATCAAAGGAGAATTCATGCAAACCAAGAGGGGTCTAGAATTCACGTAATTTTATTCCATTTTACCTTAGCTCAAAATATGCAAGAACAGTATGCAAAGAAGCACACATACAAAAACAAGGAACTGCGTGTTTATAAAAAGAAAAAAATAGAGGTATCATTGTTTTGTACCCAAAAGCATAAAAAAAGGAGCAGGGTTTCACCTTATCTCATCTTCTTCTTTTTGTGCAACTTGTACAGTTGCTGTCTTTGAGAATAATAGGCTGTGGTGACTTACTCCTGCTATACCTTGAGTCTCTAAGAATTTTATGTGGGATTCCAGAAATTCATCCCTACAGAAACAAAAACACAAATTAAGAGATAAGATGGCATGGAATTCATATAGAAAGTCATTGGAATTTAATAATTCATAACCAAACAATTCCACAAAACTTGCATTTTTTTTTATATGGATCATAGATGCATAATCATAATGGATGAAAGGTGCTGGACTGCTAATTATCTTGGATCCAGGCCAACGAATTGCTAGATTCTACTCTTTAAAAGACAAAAAAAGGCTTGTGCAAAAACACATTTTTAGGAATTTAAAAAAACAGTACTAATAGTAATGGGTTTCTTGTTGAGAGGAAGATCAAAGATGAGAGATAACCAAAACTGAAGATCATACAAAAGCAAATATTAATTAAACACAGTCCAACTTTGCTAATTAGAGAGAAAAATAAGTAGGCAGAAAAGTTGCCACTAATAGGCCTCAGTACATTTTGTGCTGGCTGTCATGCTCTTCATGTAACTGTTGCTGTGTGAGGGAAATATCAAACCCCTGCTTTGGGAGACTGAACAGCTCCCGAAGATCCTGAAAAAATCAATTTAACTTTAGAAGACAACATCACATATGCTTAAAAAAGATGCCAGGAATTTATTCCAGTAAATCAACAAATAAAACTTCATACGTGCATACCTGCTGGCTAAAGTATCGAATTTGTTCTTTGTTTTCAGTTGCTGTTCTAAATAATCCCCCCTTGAAAATCTACAACAGAAATTTTTAGGAGTCAACTTCATCCCATGTACTAATGTTTCAATTTTAAAGATTCATGATTCAACCCATCTAGCTAACATCCAAAGTAAACACTTATTATGGATACATAGGACAATTGGAAAGAAACCATACAAAGATGGCTTAGCATAATAAAAAAAATTCTACAAATAAATTGTAATCTGCAACAGAGGAACATTTAAATTTTTTTCAGGCTTTTCCTACTGAATAAACCCTTCCCCAAAGCAATGTGTCAAGACAAATTACATGCAATATAGTTTTTCAACCACTTGAAGAAATGTATTGAAACCTGGTGAACTGACTCAGAAAAAGCTCCAAAATCTTTAAATACCACGACAACAATAACAATATTTGCAATTCAAAAACAGCTACTACATCTCATGTACATACCATATGACAACCATAAATAATAAGGGAGATGAGCATTGAACCTGCTTCCTATAAATTTTCTCTTCAACAGTTCCACAAGTCATTAGTCTGTAGACAACAACATCCTTCATTTGCCCAATTCGATATGCACGATCAACACTCTGGTTATCCGTGCTACAAAGAGAGAGATATTAATTATTGATGAATTACACCAAGAAAATTCTTAACATAGCCTGACAGGGACGGAAAAAACTCAAGCAGCAAGAAAGGGATAGCTCTTTAATAGAAAATGATAGAAAAGTACGTGAAACATCAGAAACGTGTTGAAGTTGAAAAGTTCTTTGGGTAGTTTAGAGGCCAAAGTTTAGTATGTAGAAGTGCAACCATCATGCCATTTCTGGATTTCACAAATATTTTAACATATGTTTCAACATTCAAAATTCATAAACTCCACAAGCTGCCAATAAAAATGATAGATAAAGAAAAATAAATGTAATCCATGTAGTGGACATTTTACGTCAAAGATAAAGACAATTATTGACGTTTGCAAAAGGAAAAGATATATCCTAAACTATCCGAATTTTTTGGCAAATACAAGAAAAATAAATGTAATCCATGTAGTGGCCATTTTATGTCAAAGATAAAGACAATTGATGCTTGCAAAAGCAAAAGATATATCCCAAAATATCCGAATTTTTTGGCAAATCCATTTGTAATCACTAGCAAATTTGCCTATCCTAGATCTTATGACGTAGTCAGGTCATGTTTGCTGAATCTGAGTGAATGAAGGAAATAAACTTAAGGAAGTACCTAGGATTCCAAGCAGGATCAACCACAATCACACGGTCTGCTTTTGTTAGTGTAAGACCAAGACCACCAACTTGAGATGTTAGGAGAAATATAGGAGCCCCATTGCCTTCTTGGAAGTCCTGAAAAGTTATTTATTTATTTTTATTTTTTGGGTTCAGGAAAACATAGATTTTGAATAAATATTTCACATGCAACAACTAAAGTCTAATGGTTTTGACTTTTTAGAAAACTTACACTAACAATTTTTGTTCTGTCAGTAGCTTTTGTTGTACCATCTATGCGTATGAACTCATAACCATTGGACACCAGGGATTCCTATCACAGCAAAAAGATTAGCCATGCATCACCTTCTGCCAAAGCCTAAACATTAAAGAAGAAAAGATACAAAAACTAACAAAATCCTTGAACTTAATATATAAATACTCTAGAAATCAGAGTTTTTAATAGGCCAGGAATTAATTTAAACATAAATATTCACTACAAGGACAGAAAAGCCAGGAATTAATTTAAACATAAATATTCGCCACAAGGACAGAAAAATATAAATAGAATATAAATAGATGATTCAAATAAAATATAATGCAAGAAAGCAACAATGATGCATATCCAAGGCAAAAACAAATCACATGTCCATGTATCTAAAAGATATTTTAATGCATAATTAACGATGATGGAGTTTCACAACTTTGATTTAGGTATGCTAGGCTCATTTAGCCAGAACAATCACAGAAACAATTTACCACGTTCCCCTATACTAAATTGAATTAATTCATCAGCTTGCATGTTACATGTGGGCTTAAATTTACTTTCCAAACTAGAAAGTACTTCAACAAACACAATTATAAGGAAACCTGTAATATTACACACTAAGTGTAATTGCAGTTTCCAACGGATGGCACATAAACAATAAGAAATAAGCAATTGACAGAAAAAGCCAAATTCCTAAGGAAGCACACCATGAAAACTTTTTTAACTTTTGATATCTGCTGATCTTCTCGAATTAATAATATATGCTAATGAAGATGTTGTTATTACTAAATTGTCTGACACCAAGAACACATCCCACTTATTTACTTGCTTACACCTTAAGTTTTTTTCTCATCCAATCAGCTACATTTGTGTAAAATCAGAAAATTAACCAATCCATATTGCCTTCTCAGCAACAAAGATTCATGGTTACAAACCTGGATGAGATTAAGCATCTTGCGAGTTTGAGAGAATATAAGAACATTGTGCCCTTCTGGAATTAAATTATCCTGTGGAAGATCAGCATATGCATTATTAAGCATGAATGATCAAATACTAAATCAAAAGCATCAACAGTAATTCTGAGACATATCTAACCAGAAGTGACAATATAAAAGAGATCTTGCAAGAGATGTTGTCATGCTTCTCTTGAAAGTCAGTGTCAGTTCTGTCAGCAACATCAGCTAGATGCATTGCCAATTTCTCTGCTACAGCTGCATCTTCTGGATTTAGCATTGACTCCATTCCCTCCAACAAATCCTCAGCTGCTCTTTTTGTCAAGAGAAGCGGGTGATCACATATTTTCTTCAGAATCTGCTCCAGGGAAAAAGCTATTTGATTACAGAAGGGCAACCAAAATATCAAAGTGACACAGAATAGTATAATTCTTCAACAAGATTCAAGCTATTCATTAAAACTTCCTAATTGATTTGCTACCAAAAATCTTCCAAATACGAACCAAGAACAAAAAAACAATGGGCAGACCCAATAGAATCAAAGAAACAGTAATTGAGGATAAAATTCAGAGCTTCTCAGAATACAATAATAAAAGATTTCCACTTTAATGCAGGAGAAAATAAATAAAAAAATCTATGTATAGAATCAGTCAAGCCACAGCTCAACTGAACTACAAATTGTTCAAGAGAACTAGAGTCAATATGTATACACTCCCTTGATCTAATTCAGAGCTTCTCAGAATACAATAATAATAGATTTCCACTTTAATGCAGGAGAAAAGGAAAAATTCTATGTATAGAATCAGCCAAGCCACAGCTCAACTCAACTACAAATTGTTCAAGAGAACTAGAGTTAATATGTATACACTCCCTTGATCCAAACCAACAAAGTACACACACCTATGATCATTAACAATAATAAGAATTAAGCACCACCTTTCTACTGAAAATCATTGTCTTTTTGCACATCTCAAACAAACATAAGCAAAAAAGTTGAAGAGTGAAAACCGTTAGGGCAGCCAATGGCGAGCCATCGAAAGCTGAAAGAACAATTTCACTCCGCAGAAAGGCTTCATATAGTTGCCGCTGCACAAACAAGCAAAACAATTGCATGATTAATTGGATGCATGATATATGGACACAAACCCAGGCATGTGCAGCAAACCACACCTGACAAGCAGTTAGTCTGAGCCACACAATGATCTCATTCTTTCGGGAAAGTTTAGCAGTTGTAGCATCATCTTCCTTGAATACTTCATTCTTCATACGGCGCAAAAAGTAAGGTTGAATGCGTTCTCTCAATTCCTGTAAAGTAAACAATATGACTGACTATTTCTGGATTTTAGATAATCAGTAATCTTTCATAAGGACATGAGGAACCAAGTTTGTTGCAAAGTAAGAAACCCAATGGTCAGCCTAGTAACTAAAATGGAATAAGATAATCAGTAATCTTTCATAAGGACATTAAAACTTATGTCATAAAATAAATGTTAATACAAATCCATTTAGTTTGATATCTTAGGATCATTAAAACTTATGTCACCAAATGAACATAAAGAACATTACAGCAGTTCAAGATAAAGACATTTCTTGAAAAAAGTATGAGTTAAAAAAATTTAGAGAAACAAGATTCAGAAGGCTGCAGTCTCATCATTGATGTACCTTGGCAAAACCTTTGTGCATTACTTTTGGAATCTTACAAAACCTATTCTCATCAGACAACATAAGACGATGACAACATTTGAAGATCTTTAGGTCTAAGGAATCCATATAAGCAAGCATGGATAACCCTTTGATGTTAATTTTTTAGTATCATGTCAATTTCAACACTTCCAGATATTTTATTCCGCAATAAAAAACAGTACAGACATATATTAAATTTCATCAATGAGTAATGCAATCACAACTTGTGTTATGTATTATTTCAATGCTCATTTGAAAGGAGTAAAATCAAAGGCCAATATAGAAATGTTGCCTTCATGAGTAAACAAGGAGGCAACTGAACACTTCCCTCCCTCCAAAGAACTCTACCAAACATAAGTAGAGAAGGAGAAAAGTTACCCTAATAACAAACACATCCTGAATACTAGAATAGAATGAGAGTCAAAGCCTAAGAAACCAGTGCAAAAATAAGAACCTCTAGAGTAGGAAACATGGTTCATTACAGGCCTAACTGTACTGATTTCTAAATTGGATCAACAGAAACATATATTCACAATTCCAAAGTTTTCCATTTTAGCCATACCAGAAGAATATAGCAAAAATGGCACAGGAAAATAACCACAACAATTCATATGTGACACCATAATGTCAAAGAAAAATGAAAGAAAATAATCAAGGATGCAGAAAGTACAATCCAGTACATCCCACAGAATGCACCTTTGCTACCGTTGAACCAATACGCTTCTCCCTATCAGAAGCATTTTTTTCATTTCCACGAAGTATGGGATGCTCATATGTTTCCTTAAACCTGAAAAAATGATATTTGATGCCATAAGTGAGCATGAATTTATTGAAGCAATCTGAAGTATTGAGAGAATAATTACCATTTGTTGTCACCAAGTAGACCAGGACAACAGAAGTTGAACAAGGCCCACAATTCCTGTTTCAAGTATTTCAAGTAACAGGACTAAAGTGTTAAGTATCCACATTTTTCTGTCATGCGTTAGTTTATAGAAAGAGCAGGAAAAAAAGTACGAATCCTAAAGATAATACCTTAAGATTGTTTTGAATGGGAGTGCCACTAATGACAATACAATGAGCACTTGGTATCTCTAGCAAACTTTTAGCCCTCTGAGTACTAGGATTTTTTATGAGATGTCCCTGGAGAAACATAGCACAAATTTAACAACCTCTTTAAAGTTGAAACCTCAAAGAAAAATAAAAAGATTCCTAATATTCAATTGATGCCTGCATGATTCTAATATGTAAAACATCAGGTGTAATACAAACCAAATGTGAAACTTCAGAGTTTACCTCATCAAGAATCATATAGTCCCATATGTAACTATCCTCGCTTTCATCATCGATAAAGTAATGGTCCCCTCGTAAGGATTTTGAGTTGTTCCGCACAATATCATATGTTGTCAGGAGAATTCCTTTGTCCTGAAATGAGAAGATGAATCCAGGCAAAAATAAAATGTTAAATTTTGCCATGATAATCAACAATAACGGGAAACCCCGCCAAAAATTGCATTAAGATTTCTCTCGAAAAACAAGGTTATGGTAGATGCATATAATAGATTGAAGAGAAGTAGATAAAAATTCAAACTTCCAAGAAACCAAACAAATCAGTTCAGCCCTAAAACTGGACAGAACTCATGTCTGAATTAGTCAGCACCATATTTCAACTTAAACTTCAGCAGAATTTAACTTGCTTCAAGTCCACAAGTCAGATTAAAATATAAAACATAGTTATGTTCTTTCCTGTTATTTGGCTGCAGGTATCAAATATTAACTGTCTGGATGTTACGAGTTACACTTGGAAGTACAAAAAATATAAACAATGAGAGCACATGTATAACCTGAAGTATATATTGCAGCTCATAGTCCCGAGCTTTTAAAGATGTCCCAAAATATCTACATGTAAGTGCAAAAGCTGATTAGTATTCTTTAACAGACCTCTTTTCTTCAATGGTAAAAGAGAAACATTTGAACTTTCAAAAGACTTGAGTCAAACAGCCTCACTCTCTAGTCTTCGCAGAAAGCCCCACAACAGACAGTTCTTTAATCCAATGGGAGAGCAGTGTTTTAGGGGCCACAACCAATGCCCTCTTAATCAATTTGGAATGGAAGAGACCTGCTAGAAAGCTGCAAATCTGCAGAACAAAACAAATAAAAGTTAATCCATATAGCAGTGGAGTATTAACATTGTAACTATCTTCATAAATGATTGCACACACCTCCTTACCTGCATCGTTTTCCCCAAGCCCATGTCATCTCCTAAGATTCCACCCTTGCCCTGACAATGCAAAGACCAGAGCCATCTTAAACCTTCACGCTGATGAGGATACAGCATTTTTGCAATTGTACCGGATAATTTGTATGTAGATTTTGGTCCAGGCAATGTAATGCAACTATCATCCTCTGTATCTGCTTGATTGTCCGACACATCAGTCACACTAGATTCATCAGATAATAAATTGTACTTAGTAATGGCATCAGGTCTCCCAACTTTCTTGACCACCTTTTTGCTGGTCAAAACCTCACAGTCATCTTCCTTGTCCTCTGATTCATCTCGAAGACTAAGCAAAGAAGACCGTCCTACAGACCTCAATTTCTCATGGAACCTTGTGGGTTCTTTTTTCTTCACTTTTAGAGCAACTTTATTAGTTTTCTCCACCCTAGTGGCATAGTCATCACGGTCAGACACAATCTGCACATCGCCTTCCTCTTCTACAACATTGGACGCAAAAGATTTTCCCACGGGGACTAACTTTTCATCCACCCTTCCATATTCGTTCTTCTTTGGCCCTTTACAAGTGTCATTGCCCTTACTGTCAACCTCGTCAGCAAATGACCCGCTCAGCAAATGACCATCTTCATACGCATCCACAAAATTCTTATTCACATTCGATGAGGAATCAGATGGGCCAGCAGATGAAGAAAACGAAGACTCAGCACTCGCATATTCAACCACATCAACTTTCTTAACCACGTTACCATTTTCAGGCATTCTCCTTTTCTCAATCGACAAAAGATCAAGCCTTGAGGTCAAGTCATTAAGAATATCTTTTATCTCATTAATCCCCCTATTATTGTCACAATCACCAACATTTTTGGACGGTATGGGCGAATCAAAATCAGCAATATCATCAAAACTAGAATCAGTTTTCACTTCTTCTCTACTCTCACCATCCGCATTATCTCCAAAAGAGACTTTGCAAAGTCTCCGTCTTCCTTCGATCTTAACCTTCGTAGGCTTCTCCTCTTCTGGAAAAAAAATCAATTTCCCCACATCATAAACCAAAACTTTTTTTAGGGTTTTGCTAATCAACTAAAAATAAGATAATTAGGGCAATCAAGATAGGAATTTAGGGATATTACCAGGAGAAGAATCAAAATCAGTGATTCCACCGAAATTAGGGATGTTATCCTCCTCTGCTTCAGCTTTGCGAAAACGACGTCGTCCTTCGAGCTTCACATTGAATACACTCTCTTCTTCCCCGTCCTCCACTGTACACCAAACAAATCAATTCAAGATTTCAAAACCCGATAAATCAAAAAAAATTCAAGATTTCAAAACCCGATAAATCAAAACTTGTTAAATTAAAACAAAAAAGAGGTGAAGAGAGAGACCTGAGGGTGTGGCTGACTGTCGTTGTTTGGGAGGAGCGGAGAGGTCTTGAAGGAGGAGAGAGACCTGAGGGTGTGGCTGACTGTGGTTGTTTGGGAGGAGCGGAGAGGTCTTGGAGGAGGCGGTGGTGGCGGTGGTTCAGACTAACTGGTTTTTTGTTGGTGCTTTTTGAAAGATCCGCCATTTTTAGTTTAGAGAGAGAGAGGAGCGGAAGTGGAAAAGGGAGAAAAAGGAGGGTGTTTTTTTAGAAGTGGAAGGCGGAGAACTTTGTCTGTATAAAGGAAGGAAGGAAAGAAGGAAGAGAGAAAGAAAAGAATCCGTTGGGTTTAAAATAAAGTTAATTAAATTTGAATTGGTTTTCCCGCTTAGGTTGGGATTTTTTAAGATTTAATTTTCTTGCTTCTGAGGGCTTTGGAAAACAAAACACTTCTGCCCTGTTTTGTATTTTAAAAATATTTAAAAAAAATTAAAAAAAAAATATTTTTTATTTATTTTAAATTAATATGATTTTAATGATTTTAAATCATTGTATTTTATATAATAATGTTAAAAATAATTTTTAAAAAATAAAAAGAATCATTAATATACATCTTAGCACGAAAAGTTATTTGAAAAATAACCACAACTATATTATTAAATAAGTTCCTACATAAAACATGGAATCAGTTATTTTTAATTTATAATATATAAATTTAATTGTGATATTTTTTTTTCTTGATGTTAAAATATATTATTATTTTTAAATTAATTTATACTTCAATGGAGATTAGAAATGATTTTAATTTATATATCATTTAAAACTAAGTTTTGTTTTGAATAATTTTAAGAATCCAATTTATTGGTATTAGTTAAAAGATTCAAATTCAAAAAATCAAAGAAGAAGACCAATTTCCTTAAACCATCTAAGATATTTATTTTAAAGAGAATTTGACATTTTATGTTATAAAAATATTAGACAAAAGATCCAATCATAAAAATAAATCATCCAATGAATGAAAAGAAGAAATAAAAACTTTGAAAAATAAATAAAAATTGTTTTTTTATAAATAATTGGACAATAAAAATAGTTCGTTTTATCTTACAATACCACAGGGTACATAAGACAATTTGTCTTTTCTAAATGGTAACATTATATAGTATTGTCATTAGAAAAAACATAAAATTGATGCCTTTTGAATAACATTTTAATGTTTTTATTATTATTTTTAGATGATTAGATGTTTTTTCTTACATGAAAAGCCAAGTCCCGGATAAAAAAAAACGAAGAAATTTGCATCGACCAGAGCATTTACACCCAAGGATGATGTTGTTTCATTAGTAGGGAAGTATTCTAACCCTCACTTGCACTTCAAGTCTATATATATGCTTAGATGCACGTCAAATGTTGGGTTTGCTTTGATTCCTTGGTGTTGGAACCAAGCTATTCCACAGTTAGAGCTGTGAAGATGGTTAATCATGAAAGATCAACCCTCAAATTTTATTTTATTTTTTTTTGTTAAAAATTATTTTTATATGTTTTTAAATTATTTTGATGTATTAATTTTAAAAATTATTTTTAAAAAAAAATATTATTTTAAACCGCAGTCACTGTTATAATCCTGAATAAGCCTAAAATGTATTAAAATAATTTTTTTATTTAAAAAAATTATTTTTAAGATCAATATATCAAAGTAATTTAAAAATATAAAAAATTAATAATTATTTTAAAATTTTTTAAAAATATAGTTTCAATCGCGTTTCCAAACAAACTAATAATCTTGAAGCTATTGCTATGTAGATAAAAAAAATTGAGCTTCATAATAAAAAAAGTATAGTGAGAAGATATATATTTTCTGAATTGAGGGTTAACCTATATTAATTTTTAATTTGAATTAACACAAACTTACAGGGTTCTTATAAAGTTATTATAATAAAAGGAAAGATCATGTTTTTTTACCTATCTAATCCAGGTTAAGCTCTAAATTAACAAGTTATTGGATTTGACCTATATGTTTATAATTTAAGTTTTGTATATTAAAATACCATTGTAATCTAATAGTTTTAATTTTTTAGATGAGATACTAATATATAATTTATATTATTTTTTTAATATATATTCTTAAAATAAAATTTTTTTTGAACTTAAAATTTATATATATATCTATATTATTTTATATATTAATTTTTATTAGATAAATAAAAATAATAAGATTTAATTCTTATATACAAGGAAATTATGATCATCAATGATAGGCCTTGATTATATGCCTTGAAACCGACTCTATTCTCTAATTATCAGCCTATCTTGAGTTTGGATCCTGTCCTATGACCTCCTAGGAAACCAAAAACATGATAAAATTATATAATCTCAAATCAGATCTTTTGAAGGCATAATTGAAGAGGATAAAAAATGAAAGAAGTTAGACACAATGCTCGTCTACGAAATCGTACGGATTTCTAGAACTAATCATCAGACAGAGGGAAGAGTCTTCTGGTAGCCAACCCATGCATATGTCTTGTTCAACAGCTTGACAAGACATGCAAGAAGTTCTAGCTTCAAATGCCAGATAGTGAACATGGGATTGTTTTGGTCTGATGGCCATTTACTTGTGTCTTAAGATGTTATTACTGGACGTGAAACAATGACAAATTGTATTAATTGGAAATTGTATTAACTTAATTATTCACAGTTTAAAAACCAGAATATAAAATAGCAAAACCCAGGAAGATTTACATGTATTTGAGTTTTTCTGACAGGAAATCAATAGAGGAAGTGAGCAAGAGAAGCGATGCCTACACCTAGAAAATCAGTGGATGAAAAAGAAAATGCCCTAGCAATTAATCCGGGAAGAAGCAGCAAAACTCTTGAAACAATCTCAAGATAATTATAATGAAAGATGGATGAGTGAATTGCCTATATTTCATCCATGATCAAGAGAGAGACTGAATTGAGAAGGTTTCATCAATATCCCATGCCAAAGATAAGATCAATCCACCTGAGCTCAATGAATTGATCAAGATGCCATGGATGAGGTCAATGGCAATTCACTCTCATGTGATCTAAAAGACATGTTGTTGATTGAATTGCTTGAGGATAAATTCCTCTTAATTGCAGCATTTCCATTGCCACCACTATCATTTTGCTCTACCGTTATCGTGGGCCCTTCAAACTCATCCTGCGTTCCATCTCCCTGAGTTTCGATGTTACCAGACTGGTCATTAGTTGCTGCATTTCCTGTCGTATTAAAAACATTTGCACGAGCACGACCACCTCCTCCACCACCGCCACCAGAACCAATAGCAACCCGAAATCCAAAGAATCGCGAAAGAAACCGATAGATGCATGTAAGTAACCAAAAAATCCAAGGCAGGCAAACCAGGGCTATACCGGCAACAGGAAGCCAAGCCCTAGATGGGTCTGAAGGGAGGACAAGATACATAAGCAATAAGCTGCCTCCAGCAGCTACAGTAATAAACATGAAGAAAGAGATGAACCATATCAATAAGCGCCCAGAAGTGGGGTCTTCTACAGGCATTTGTGTGTTGAAACTTGACGGACAGGAAGATCAAATGATTAGTATTTCCTCTCTATCCTCGTCCATTTTTGTTCATTGGGATGTTGGTGTATGTGTGATCAATGAGAGAATATGGTTTTGATTTTGCAGGGATAAGGAAGAATTCATGACAGATGATGATGAAGAAGAACACTGATGTTTCTTCTTGAGGATGTTTCGTCTGATTTTTCACAGGGTGGACATATTCAAAATTGACACCAAAGACAGGGAGACGAGAGAGTGAAAATCGGGAGGACTTGTTGTTACATGAGAGCACGCTTGCGAATTCCCAAAATTTGTGCTCCTTACAAGATGAAATGGCTCGTTAATTTTTTTCCATGGTAGCATTTCTATTTTTAGCCTTCTTTTCTTTCTTTCTTTCTTTTTTTAATCTTTTTTGAGGTGATAGGAACACACCTTGGACTCAAGATCTTCTTCCCTTTTGGCTGCTCCATAAATGATGCATGATCGACAACGATTGGAGGCAATACAAATTTCCATTCTCAACCATCATGTTCACCTAACACCACCAACAATATGCTCCATCACCTCATATTATTCCCAGCATTCCCTCTCACCATGTCTATCCTATTGCCTCGACATTTTGTATGAAATTTTTGCAAAATTTATTTGCTTGTAAATCATTTTCCAAGTAACAAGACAATCCCAGACTCCCAAGTCCGACTTGAACCAAACAGAGATAGCACTCTGGGTTTCACTTCTCCATCAACCTTTCGATACATCACCTGCACGTTAATGCGACTCAAACATACCTTGGAGTACGTTAGGGCTTCTTTTTATCATGCGATGTCTTGTTTCATTTGTATTAGCATCTTTTCACCTCTATTTCTTGCAGTACAGGGCATAACTGAATAGTTGTGATTCACATGGTCCACTTTTCAAATATGCTGCCAGCAGACTGTTAGAGGGACTATGTAATCTACTCAGACGGTTACCTGCACTCGTCCCTGTCAATGGTTCAATGTCCAAATTCATATGAAAAAGGGTTAATGAGAGTGAGAGCTCCCAATTCAGAGGAACCTCCATGATGAAAATAAAGAAATAAATAGAGACTAATTACATGGGGTATGATTAATTTGTAACAAAACAAATCTAGCCTGCTAAGATGACAACACTGTGAATAAGGAAAACTTCTATGATGAATATTCTGTTAGAAAGTTATTTCCACGCACAGCTTATGAGAGGATCAGAGGAACTCATAAAAGTGAACTTCGGTACAAGAATTCACTCTGTAATAGCCAATGGAAGCAGGACAACTGTCACTGGATTTTGACAACATCAGCGAAGGGGAGAAGCGATTTATCACAGGTCCTGCCACCAGACAACTTCATCAAAATTGCCACTGCATCATTCTGAAGGCCTCCATTAAGAGTAAGACCCGGTCTTTAGCCAACTGTTATTGAACTACTATAAAAAAATGGCAGTGTTATATATGGCATAACTGACCGGCAGAGAATATAAGTACTGAACCACTGATTAATCAGAAACACATCACAAGGTTATTGTTTTTGGTGAAGGGACACTGGACTCGTGATTGGTTTCTGTCATGACAGAAGTCAGCATCTTGTGTCTCCTCTGTTCAAACACATCACAAGGTTATTGTTTTTGGTGAAGGGGCACTGGACTCACGATTGGTTTCTGTCATGACAGAAGTCAGCATCTCATGTCTTCTCTGTGCCTGAGCTTTCCTTTGGCTGGTTTCAATGATGATGAGAAGAGCTGTAATGTC